TTCCACTGTTGAGGTTGAACAATCTTTTTAGTTCAAGGGAGGAAACATACTTGCATGGGAAACACGATCTCGTATGACAACCCGGATTTACTAGAAGCACCAAGCATGCGTGGGGTGATTGGACCAAGGCCGAATAAAGAGCCCAAGGAAATATCCAAAAGGAAAATGAAATTATTTGATTTATACTATGGGTCCTCAACAGGGAACATCAACCGGTGGTGCAAATAGCGATAAAGTAAAAAGGGTTGAAATTGATATAAGCGTAAGTAAGGAACTATTGTGGGCTTTGGATCCTCTAAAACCCCCAAGAGGATTACGTAGGCAAAACTATAATTGTTTTTTTAAAACAAAAAAAAAATTAAGTTCAAGCCCATTTTTTTTTTTTAAAAATTATGTTCAAACTTTAAAAAAAAAAATTTAGTGAAATAGTTTTTTAAAAAAAAAATATGGTTTCAACACTTAAACCATTCAAGTCTTTAAAAAAATAAATTTAATTGAAGTATTTTTTTTAATTTTTTAGGTGTATTTTTAAATTTTTATGTTCAAAATAATTTTTTTTTAAACCGCGTCTTCAAAAATTTAAAATTTTTAGGTGTATTTTTTAATTTTTTATGTTTCAAATAATTTTTTTTTTTAAAACCCGGTCTTCAAATTTTTAAAATTTGCAGGTGTATTTTTTAATTTTTTATGTTCAAATAATTTTTTTTTTTAAACCGGCCCATTAAAATTTAAAAGTTAAAAATTATGCGATTCGCCGGAAAACTTAATCGGAAACGTCGGTTTGTAATCGGATCGGAACCGACCGGATGGTTCCAAACCTGAAACCGTAACCGAACTCTTTTTCGGTTCGGTTCCGAAACCGTGGCCGAAGGCTAAATCTGAACTCTGTCTAGCCAATGAAAAGTTCTTAATCTCTAGTGCTTTGGGAATAATGTCCCATATCCGCTGTGAATTGAATTATCAATCAAAATATTCAAATTAAATAGCTGTTAACTATTAATAGCTTGTGGTATAGCTGGTTTTTCAGAAGTAGCAGTTGGTGTTGGTGATTTCTTTGTTTTATGATGCTTTTGTGTTATAGCACAGTCAAGACTTGTTGCTAATATTAGAGCTTGCTCTCTTCTATTATCTAAAAAAAATAATTAAACTAATTAAAATGATATATTTCCTTTGAAATTTTGGAGAATGAAAAATACAAAATAAATAACAAGCAGTTACCAAACTCCGAAGGGAGTAATTTAGCAAGTTAGCAATACCTAAATTTTTTAACCCCCTAAGAATAGAGGAAAAAAACAATAGTTGAGAGTGTTCAAAAAAAATAAAAATAATGGCTAATTGGTTAAGGAATTAAACATTCCAATAAAACAGTTCTCTAAGGCTCTAAAAGCGGGTTAGAGATAAAGACTTAATATTTAATTAATTTTCCAATATTACAACCAACAACGGAAAATAAGTTAAATCTGAAAATATTTTTCAAGAAAAAATATTTGTTTATTAAAATACTTTTCAGCAAGTTATTTATACGGAAACGAACGGAGGAACCGTCAATCCGATTTTGATAATAATTAGATTTTCTATGAGGAAAACTAACTGCATAACTGTAAAGTAATGATATTACAATATATAATTCCTAATTAAGCATCCAACCAATATTTCTACAAATAGAATTATAATAATTTCTAATTAAGGCTCTGTTTGTTTTCGTAACAATAACTTGTAAAAAATATTTTCATAATTTTTTTCATGGTTTTGGGACATCAAGAAAATAAGTCAACGGAAAAAATTTTCCTGATCAAAGGAAAATTAAACGTCATTTTTCTTTGAACGAAAATAACTTTCTATTTTCGAGACAGTAAAATAAATTTTCTGAACATTGGACAAACCCTTATAAATTCATTATTTTTTTAATTTATTAATCATCGTTTAGTCACTACCATCAGGCATTATTTATCACCGGCTACCACCATCAGCAATCGACAGCCCACCACCACCGTCCACCGGCGGCCTGTTCATAATTTATATATTTTTATTATATTCTTCTCATATTTAACAATAAAATTTTTAAATTATAAGAATCTCTATTATTATTTTATTATTATTATTTATATTATTTAATGGTCTTATGAGAAAAGACTTTAATATTTTTTAACTAATTTTCAAGTATTAAAAACCAAACAACGGAAATAATTGTATTATGAAAAATATTCAGTGTAAATATTTCTCAGCCAAATTATTTGCGGAAACACCACGGAGCATAAGATATCATAAAACATATAAAATTTTTAAATATTATAAATCTTCTCAATTAGGAATTATATGAATCATAATTATTTTGTATACTATACATATTTTTATTTTTTCTTTTAATAGGTTTTTATTTTATTAGTAGTGATTTTTGATAGCAAAACCGAAGCGTGACCAATAAACTAAATTAACTAGTATTTTTCAACCAATAAAATAAAAAATTATTAAAAAATATTTTTATAAATCCATAAGTTTAGTAAGAGTTATTTTAATCTCCAATATTCTCACTCTGCCCGATATTCACTTTTATGCATATTATAAAATATAAATTTCATTTTTATTCATTAAATATGAAAAAATGGCATATAAAATAATAAATATGACATCAATCAGGGACCGTGGTTATAAAGCCAACGATGATAAGTAATTGATGGTGATGGCAGTTGGTGATTTGTTACAGATGATAGTTGGTTTGTTTTGGTGATTATTAAATTTAAATAAACATGTGTTTGGTAGTCATCCAGGATTTATGTGGTAATCGACAGTACCAGTAAACTGACGATGGTACTATGAGTGATGCCGAATAGTTGGTAATAGTTGGTTAATGAATGAATAAATTTAATAAATATGAAACTTTAAATAAGGTTCATAAATGTATTAAAAATCAATGTTTCTCCCTTTAGAGAATAAAAGCCATCTGGTTAGTTTTATGTGCCTAAATTAAACTTTAGTTGTATTGCTTCTAAACAAACATGTTTTTTTATTTTGTCGCTTATAGAGATGGTCTTCGTTGAAGAAAAGGAAGTTGATAATGAAGAATCACCAAGATAATGAAAGAATCTTTGACCAGGAGAGTTTTCAGCGGCAGTGCATTTCCCTTGACCTTTCCTTTTTCTGTTTCTTAGAGTCAGTATTTGGTTGAATTATCAATGAATAACTTCAAATCCAACCGAATAAGTTTAAATTTTTCAGAAAGCAAAGTAGATTCCAAATTGAAATAATATACTCAAATCCAACCAATTTGATGTTGATTCAATTTTTTTAAAAATTATTTTTTGGATTTAATAAAAATTTAACTGTTTATATGATTAAAAACTGAACTAAAGCATCCATTTCATCACGCTTGGCTTCCAAATTTTAGGAAAACCATCCGCCTCTTATTTGTTGGAATTTTTTCTTTGAGCTAATGAATTATTCATTTTCCCTTTTCAACAAAAAAAAAAAAAAAAAAAAAAAAAAAAAAAAAAAAAAAAAAAAAAAAAAAATTCAAACTGAATCAACCGGAATTTGGATCCGATTCAGTTTTCGATAATTTAGTTTTAAACTATGCTCTCCTCCTGCTTGTCTCTTTTACATTAGCTGCTCAATCCTTTTTATTTTATTCTCAAAAAAAACAAAAAAAAAAGAAAATTTAATTCCTTTTTACCTTTGCTATCAAAATCCAAACAATTGCTCTATCTACATATAACTATAACTGTCTAAGTTTGTTGATTGAATGATCTTTGGCTTGGGAGAGAGGTTTCAAGAAGGTTGAAGTTCAAACAGATTCTCAGGTCCTTGTGTCTATTCTTTCATTCAATGAACCACCTTCTTTACGGTATCAGAATGTGGTTTCCTCTTGTAGGAGGTTGATGTGCAGGAGGTGGCAAGTGTCTATTAAGAGAATTTATGGAGAAGCTAATCGGGTGGCTGGTGCATTGGCCAACGGTGCTCTTTCTTTTTCTCGTGGGCTTCATCTCATGGAGAGTCCTCCCACTTTGGTTAGAGAATTGGTTGAAGATGATAGGTATGGGGCATTTGGCGCCCCCGTCAGCGTCATGCAGTTACTTCTTGGGTTTTAACAAGAGGATGGAAAGCGGAGGGGCACTTTCGAATTTTGAATATACACTTGCGAATTTTGAATTACCCGTAACCATTTACTTGAGTAGGGTATCCAATCATTTTAAACTATCCAAACCCGCACTTATTTAAAATATATCTTTTACTAATAAATGGATAGGATACTCACGGGTACCTATGGCAAAACTGTTTATTATAGTGGGCAATGGAAAATGGGTACCCAGAGTCTAACATTCATACCTTACCCGTATTCATTACAGGTAGTAATTTCACTATTTGTATCTATCTAAAATTCATTTATAACTATCTATATCCACCTTAAACGAATCAGAGCAGAGCGGGTTCCTAGAATACCTATTTCACTTCCATCCCTAGTTTTTTTAATCACTCTTTTTGATTTAAAAAAAAAAAAATTCTCATTTAAGAAACAAAAGAATTATGTACAAGAAAGTAAAACCACGGTAGTTTGGACTGTACTGTGCATTAATTGAATAGATTACCCTTTATTTCACGTACTTTCTTTTATCTTAATAATAACAAAATAACAAAAGAAAAAACGCAATTTATCCACGAAATTTTCTTATATTATTTAAAATAATAAAGTGAAGATTTATACAACTTTTAAGTATTTAAAATGAATTCATTGATTATTGATTTCAATGATATGAGAATTTTTTTTTTAATTCTCAAATAAACAAAATTAATGAACCCGCTGTTCTTTCCGTCTCATTTTATTTGTTTGTTATTGCTTTTTTAGATGTCTCAAAATGTTTGCAAGATTTTTAAATTTGTATATCTTAGCAATTATTTTTTCCATAATAAATTTTATGATTGTTCATCAAATGAATTTGTATTATTTTATGAGTTAAGGGTAAAAAAAAATAAAATAATTTTTATTGACTAAATTCTTACTATGCGTGTTTTGTCAACTGTGCAAATATAATAGGACGAAGGGAGTATATTTTATTTCACCTTTATTTTATTTATTTTCATAAATTTCACCATTTTCAATTTATATTCTCGTTAATACATGTCTATCTACTAAGGGTTTATTCTACAAAATTAGCTGTTAACTGTTTTAGTAACATTTAACTGTTAGTTGTTTGAGTAATTTTTCATAAAATGTTAAAAGTTAAATGTTTTTCATAAAATGTTAAAAGTTAAATGTTACATAGGTTAACTTTTTATAAAATGTTATCTTAATCTCTTAAAGCTAGTTCAAATGTTATGTTATCAAACACTATAAAAAATAACGTTTAATCAAAACGCTAAAATTTAATTAAAAACTTATTGTCGAACACAACCTAATTCTTACTCTTATAATCAAAAAAATCATGGCCGCATAATGTTAGTTAATTTTGGTGCATGATCTTTTCATTTTTTTTCTATTTTGGTGTCTGAATGGAAAATTGTTAATTGAGTGTCCAAACTTGTATTTTTTTTTTTTTAAATTTGATGTCTCTTGATGACATGGATAACCGAATGTCTAATAAGTGGGGCCCATAAATGCATATGTGTTTGTTTATGTGGTTGTTTATGTGGACTGACTTTTTTCCACATAGACTGACAGCATTGGAAAATTAAGGAAAAGATGCATTTACCCCAATTTATTACCATCCCAAACACCTTTTTCCCCTGAAACTCTAACCTAAATCACAATTGGAAGATCTAAGTCTCCCTTTCTTCCTCTGCGCAGCAGAACCAACCCTGCTTTCAAACTGAATTAGATTGCCCAAACATTTTTCTTTGGCGTGTGAGTTTCCCTTGGAGTCTGTATTTTTCTTTTAGATATATTTCTCCTTTCCTCATTTTCTCCCTTCCCGTTGCGATTTTCTTTGTTTTTCTGATATCTCTCTACTCGAGTTTTGAAATTCTATGTAGTTTTGCACATTTCAAATTTTATTTTTGTTGCCCTTAATATTTATTTGTTCATGTTAATTCACAGAATGTATGGATATTCATTCGCTAGTGACAATGTCGTTTGGAAGTTCCTGTTTTTAGTAAGTTTATTTGGAGCAAATAGGAAAGAAATTAGAGCTATGGTTCCATAAATAAACATATGCAGAAAAGTATCCAACAACAACCACTCTAAAAAAAACTTTACCTAGCAAAACTTATCGAAAAATGGTAACAAATAAATATTAGCGAAGATGGGTATCTTTTCCTAGCAATCATTTTGTTCCTCGCATATTTTTGTAAATGATAGTAGCAAAATTATAATAATATGAGTGACTATTTTGACTTATTTTCAAAATTTGTCTTAGATTGCTTAATTGGCATTAACCTCTCTAGAGGGGATAGCGAAGATGGGTATCTTTTCCTAGCAATCATTTTGTTCCTCGCATATTTTTGTAAATGATAGTAGCAAAATTATAATAATATGAGTGACTATTTTCAAAATTGTCTTAGATTGCTTAATTGGCATTAACCTTCTCTAGAGGGGAAGCACCCCTATATATATACATGGTATAATTGTTTGGATAAGCTACATGAATACAAAAGAGTAATATCCGGCCACTATCTCCTAATATCATGCTCATATCTTCTTTCAGTTATGTTGATTGCATTATGTGGTCCTTGGGCCATTTGTTAGGATCTATGTTTATCACCTGTCCCCCTGCCAACAATGGTTGACATTTATGTCGAAAATCTGAAAAATGGGCTCAGTATTTTGGGACTCTCTTAGAGTTTTAAACTTTGAAAAAGGAATGTATGAGCTATTTGATATGAGGAAAGTAGGTTTTGAGCACGACTCTTTATCCAGGGGGTGATTATACTTTTTGTTAAGGTATGGGCCTTTGTATTTTGAGGAAAAGAAGGAGAATTTTTTGTTTTGGGCCTAAACCCCATTTCACTCAGTTTGAAGGCCCTATGGGCAGGTGCAACCGTCATCTTGATGATGGTTTTGTACTTTGAATTTTAAAGGAGTGACCCTTCATCTGCTATGGCACTTTGGTTCCAGCCACAGTTTGTGGAATTTTCACTTGCTATATAAAGGAGTTCTCACCAGCATTTTGGAGGTTTTATGCTATTTTGCTTCAACTTCTGAAATTACTCGCTCCTGTTTCTGTTTGCTAGTGTGTTTTAGGTAATTTTACTTTGACTTTGAGATTTATCCCATTGTCCTCATGTTCTCATTTTTCTTTTTACTATGAGTTCCAATCGCCAATCCAAGAGTAAGGCTTTAGTCTCTGAATGGTGAGGATGACCGAGCAGTATATGAGGATGACAACTGCATCCTAGGGGTGGGTTATGAGTTTGACTCTGAGGATGAAGCTAGCTTACTCCAAAGGAGGTTTTAAGGAGTTATTGCTTTAGGCAAATCTTCTTTTAGCTTTCCTATTCCTCAACTGCGTGACGAGACTACCCTGAGCAATCTCCCGAGCCTAGGAGGACAAGGGTCATGTCTGTTCAGCCTTCGTAGTAAGCATGCCCACTCTTTCTCGTTAGACTAACCCCACTGCTCATCCTCGCCAAAGGAATGTTATAGTGCGGGATCTGACTTCCATACTATTCGAGCATGATTTGGTCGACATCTGAGCCCATTCTCTTATTCCTGAGAAGTATCGAATCAGGATTTCACCGACTGATATGAGAGCAAATTCTAACCTTGACTGAAAAACCTTGATCATCTACACCGAGGACTGCCAAGCTGGTGTACGCTTCCCCCTTCAACAGATCTTATCCAAGTTTTGCAATGAGTGGGGTGTGACCATTGGCCAAATTGCTCCTAACAATATTCGGATGATTCTGGGGGCCTCTATTATGGTTGTCTAACAAGGTTTCGAACTCAACATCCATCAGCTACATAGTATGTTTAACTTCGTTTGGAGGGGGCTCGAAGACCATCCCCTTCTCACTGCTCGAAAAGACTATAACCTTTTCCCTTTGAAGAGCACTTCTTTGAAGGGGAGATGGAAGGAGAAGTATTTCCTTATTGGTCATCCTCAAGGGTTTGGGATACCTTTTTCATGGAGATTAGATGCTCTTGTATTGAGGCGTCTTCGTATCTTGAGTGATGTCGAGTCTAGGCAAATAAAGTGCCTGAAACACTATGCTCGTAATCCCCTCCTCTCGTTCCCTTATTAGATGCCAACATCCCCTCGGGTCCTAAGACTCGGCCTACAAGAAAAAGAGGGGCTCGGGAGTCTGAGGGTGTGTCAATCTGCTTAGGTTCTTTTTCGTCTATGACTGACCATTCTTTTTTAACTTTTCTTTATTTTTTCTAGATATGGCTCCAAAATTGTCCAAGGATATGAGGATTCGCTTGTAGGTAGATCGGGATAATAGACTGGCCAACAAGTTAGGCTAGGTTCTTGAGGGGAGTGTGAGTGATCCTCGGACCTCTTCAAGGCGTTTTGGGGTGCTTGTCGCAGCACCGCTTGTGCACACTCCGGTTGTTGTGCTGCCTCCTCCTAAGGTTTCTACTATAGTTGTCTCAGATGCTCCTTCAATCCTTCTTGTTAGCTCGAAGACTACCGAGCTTAGAAGGAGAGGAAAGCAGCAACGAGGGGCTGATGACGTGCCCCATTCCCCTATAGTGGAGAAGAGGTTGGACCTATAGAGTGCCATGAGGATGAAGTATGGTAAAGAGGCTTCGGTGAGCGACGCGGATGTTGCTCAGATTTTTGCTGGTTGGTACGTCCTCTCGACTGATCTGTCTCGCTTAGAGAGTTTAGGGGAGGAGTTGTTTCTAGACCAGATTGATAGTGGTCTTCTGATGGTACACCTTTTGTTCATTCTTTTTGTGTTTATTTCTCTTTTCTCTTCTTCTTTTCTTATATGTGATTATTCTTGCCTTTGTGTATTTTAGCTAGTGAGTGCCCACAATGACACTCATCGGTGGATGAGAGAGTCAGAGGAGTTGGTCGCTACCTTGACTGTGGACTTACAGGCCTAGAAGGTTTAGCCTGGGAAGCTAGAGAATTCTATTCAGTCTCAAATAACAAAGCATAGGCGCTTCGTGGGCGAGCTAGAGGAGAAGATCCAAGCTATCTCGCAAGAGAGGGATACGCAACTTGACTCCTCTCTTAAGTTAGGTTCTTAAGTGGAGCAGTTGGCCAAGTAAAGGGAGGAGGATGCTGTGACCATCCGTAAACTTCAGGTGGATTTTACTTGAGCCGAAGATGCTGCTGCTGAGGCCACCCAATCGGTGAATGATATGCTGATGTTGCAATCTGACTTA